TCTTTCTTTCTTTCTTTCTTTCTTTCTTTCTTTCTTTCTTTCTTTCTTTCTCTCTCTTTCTTTCTTTCTCTTTCTTTCTTCCTTTCTCTCTCTCTCTCTCTCTCTCTCATTCTCTTTCATTTGGTTTTGGTTTTTCGAGACAGGGTGTCTCTGTGTAACCCTGGCTGTCCTGGACTTACTTTGTAGACCAGGCTGGCCTCTAACTCACAAAGATCTGCCTGCCTCTGCCTCCCCAAGTGCTGGGATTAAAGGCGTGCGCCACCATACCCAGTTAGCAGGCACTTTTCTAGTCTTGCTTAGTTCCATTCAAGAAGACTAAGGATTTGGGCTGGGGGATGTGGGGAATGGAGGCTGTAGAAAGGACAGGCTTAGGGTGTCCCCTGTGCCCGGCCCACCTGCTCGAAGCGCCAGCCATCAGACATGGTGGAGACCATCTGTGTGAGCTCCTCCTCCTGGCACTGCAGCACGCGGTACACATGCTTGGGTGGCACCTGTGGGCAAAAGGCTTCCATAGAGGGCACCTCCTAGGGCACCGGGCACCCAGCTGCTCCTTCCCCCAACTGTAGAACCATAGACGGGGGCAGGGAAGTTAGAACCGTAGAGGAAGGAGGGAACCATGCTCTGAATACCTACTCTGTGCCGGATGCAGCCCATGCAGGACTCACTCCTTCTGGGACCCTTACGCACTATGGGATTTGATAACTTCGAGGCTCTCAGAGGTGCTCAGCTACTTGTCCAGGGTCACCAGCTCAAGGGTGGCAGAGCCATGTGTGGAATATGGGTGATTCAAGAAGAAAGCCCGGTAGGGCTTGGGAAGACATTCTGGGTTACCAGTCTAGTCAGACTGTCACCTCTTTAACCCCTGTGGCTGGGAGGCGATGTCTCACCCCGTTTCCCAGAGAGGCCTGGGATCTGAGCGCTGAAATGCCAGCCCCAATGGCTCATGTGTACAGCCTGACTCCATGAAGTGGACATTTACTCATCATGCATGGCGGGGGGGGGGCGGCTGTGCTGCTACAGACATCCTCTGTCAGGGAGGGTAGCTAGGCAACCTTGGAGCATCTGTTTTCCACAGAGGAAAACAAAGAAGGGCATGATAACCCTTGGTCACACAGAGCAGGAGCCCAGGCGGAGGCGGGGGCAGAACGCTTGGCAGTATATATCTAGGCTGGGGCTGTGCTGGGTGGCCTGGGAGGCTTCTCCTTGCTAGGCTGCTCAGCCACCCCCTCTTCCCTCCTCCCCTACCCCCTCCCTCCACTGGCCCTGCTTGCTCTCTCCAAACCTGGGTCACTGTGTAGTCTTTCTCTTCCATCCTGTCTTTGATGATGCGAATCAGAGGGCCGATGTTGTAGAACTCAGCTTCCTCCAGGACCCCTGGGACACAGAGCAGCCCAGTCACCTCTACTGTCTCCATGTCCTATTCTCCTTGGACCCAGCCCACTTCCTGCTCTGGTCATATCCTAGATAGGGTCCGTGAGTTCAAGGGTCAAGAAAGAGGGAACATTTCAGGGGTAAGGATTTGATCAATTGGTAGAGTGGCTTTGATCAGCATGTACAAAGCCCTGGGTTTGAGCCCCAGTACTGGCCAAACCATGAGTGGTGATAAAAACACTTATAATCCTAGTACTTGGGAGGCAGAGGACATCCTTGGATACATAACAAGTTTGAGGCCAGCTTGGGCTACACAAGACCTGGTCCAACCCAAACAAAAGGGAACACTTTTTTCCTTGGTGTCCACATAAGAGGCTGAGATGTTTCTCGGCTAGCTCTGTCTCCTGTGCTGTGATGGGCATGTGACTCAGGACTACCTGCCAGTTCACAGCCCATAGCTGTTTTGGGCATCAAGAGAGAAGGCTCACTGGGGCTTTGCCCTAGAATACATAGGGAGAGCCCAGGCTGCCCACTGTGTGCCCTCATTTATCAAACACATGCTAATTGCCAGGCCTGTGCTGGGAACACCACATTCTTTATGGCACTTGTCAGAACCAGAAGTGAGTTCTTTCATTTATGTCCACCGAACAACTGGGGAAACGGAGGCTATGGGAGAGAAACAGCTTGTCCAAGGTCACGTGTCCTGTAAGCCGCAGAGGCAAGGCAAGCTCCACTTTCAGAGCTCTGAACCCCTCTGTGGAGGTCCTGGGATGTGGGGGAAGCAGTGGTCACGGTCTGTGTGTTGTAGACTGACCTGAGAGACCAGCCATCCCTCCTCCTGCTCACTGACGTGTAAAGAGCTCCCAGGAGTCCGTACTGCAGGAAGTCTCTGCAGGGCAGGGGGTTGCTGGGCTCTCTGGGGTTAGAGATCACCACAGACTATGCATGTCCCCTCAAAACGTAACCTAACTGCCATGTGATGGAGGGACCCTGGCCAGGGGGAGGTGAAGAGTCACAAGGATGAAAGCCCAAGGGTGTGAGAGCTCTGACGGAAGAGGCTGACAGGCCAGTGACACCCTGGCTGCATGGAACACACAAGTGGACACTTGGCAGCGGGGGAAAGAGTGAGGGCCACAAGCCCCACGATAGCACACTGACCCTGAATCAAAGCCTGAGGAGTAAGGAGGGATCAGCGGCTGTGGTTACAGTCCCCTGGCCTCTGGTATTTCCTTACAGCAGCTGGAACTAGGTTGGAGGGTGTGTGTGTGTGGGGGGAACTGGGCGTGTGTGGTGGGGAAGGGGAGTTCTGATCTCCATTAGTGCCCAGAAATCTCCCAGGCCCTGGCAGAGAGGAACACTGAGCTGTGCCTAGGCGAGGCAGCTCCATGCTTTGAAAAACTTCCATCTACCGTCCCACTGCTTACTGAGGTGGGTGCGAGTGTTGCTACACTTCACAGACCCAGAGAGGTTAATTAACATGTCCACTGCCTCACTGCCTCCTCCCGAACTCCATCTCTTCAGACACTCCCCAGTCCCGGCTGAAGATGTCAGAGCACCAGGGCTTCAAGGAGCCAGAACCTGTAAACAGGTATTGGCTGTGACGTGGCCTCCCAGAGGGACCCGATGCTGAGCCCAGGCCGCGTCCATGTGATCTGTTCCCCTTGGACTGCTAGGCAGCCATCAGTAGGCTGGGCAGAGCCAGCTAACTACCTAACAATGAGCTCTGAGCATGATGCCCTCCCTGTCCTTTGGGGAACCTTCAGGTCACTGTACCCCATCGAGATCAGCCAGAGAAGATCATTGCAATAGAGACACCCACAGGTACACAGGACCCATCCGTAGTCCCAACAGGCACTCTTCCGAACATGGGTCATGATGCCCCTTTTGTAGGCACCAGTGGAGACTCAGCAAAGCCTGTCCAAGCTGTCCTGGTCTGATACAGAGCTATACTCAAGTGTACAGAGGAGAGCTAGTTTGGGGATGACTGTAGCCCCTGCCCCTTGTCCGTCCTTCACACTGCGTCCATGTCAGCCGGATCCAGATGAGAACCCTCACAGGCCCAGGAAGGACCAAACTTACACTGGACACAGTGCTGCCCACTTCCTGTAATGAGCCACTGGGTTGTGGAGGCTGCCAGCTTTGGGGAGAATCACCAGCTTCATCCACGGGCTGATGGGGGGCTGGTGGGAAGCCCTCCTCCCACCCCCACCCCCACTCCCCCGCTTGGGAGATGCAGAATAAGGCAGAGAAAGAAGACCCGACCCTTTCCCCATCCAGCCTGGGACATCACAGGCCACACCTGGCTTGCCAAAAGGCCAGGGAGAAAGGTCATTCAATCCCAAAGACAACAAAAGCCTCCGGGGAGCCTCATTGGCTCTTTTTTTCCACTTCCTGTTTCCACATCATTTCCCCAAGAGCACCCAGTGACAGCTTGGGTCTGTCAGCTCGGCAGAGACCTGGAGAATGAAACCCCACTCTAGGACAGGCAGAAAATCATGGGGGAAAGCAGATGTAACCAGCCCAGCACAACGGACCAACTCACCCTCCTCAGCCATGTCCTTGTCCAGCACCAGTTTGCCATGCCTGAGGAAGTTCAATATGGGCCCGAAGTAGGTGGGGTCTCGGTCAATGAGGTAGGCCCCGGTCTCATCCTGTGGACGAGATGACCACAGGCAGTGTGAGGTATGCAAGCTTCCCCCAGCCCAGCCCCACACATAAGCTCAATTCACCGAAGGCTGGAAAAGGGAGAGAGGAAATGGGGAGAGATGGAGCAGCAAGGCTCCGGGTTCCAGCCCTGCCTCTGCCTTTTCTAGGTTGTGTGACCTTGAGCCAATCATCTGGCCTCTCGGAGCATCTCTTCTCTCACCCATAATTAGAGGATTAAGTGTGATCGTAGAGTAGGACAGGACTTCCGGAGTGGCCCCTACCTCGGCACAGGACCCAGCGAACTCCCTCCTGAGAAAGTTTCCCTCTTGGAGGTTGTGCCCCAAGCCAACCCCACTATCCACCAGATGTCTGCAAGTTTCCAAAGCAGCTGCTCTCCGATTGGACATCCACAGCCTACAGGGGAGCCAGCAGGGGGCTCACCCAAGGGCACAGTGGGAGAGGGCCACAGGATGGGAGCCAGGGGACTTTGGCAAGCCCACTCCAGAGACCTTGCACGTGAGGAGGCCAAAGTCTGAGTGCAAGGAAGTCCTTCCTATCCCTCTACCCCAGACTCCTCCTGGGTCATTCTAGGAGTTGGTAGGAGAGCAGGGTGAGCCCACAAGTCGTATCTGCAAAGCCAGGGCTCTTCCCCACATGAAGCCCAGCTCCAAGACACTCAGGCCTCCTCCGCCCAGTTCCTTGCACCCTTCAGTTGCCCACACCCCAAGGGCGTGGAGAAGCAGCCGCATCAACTCCGTTCCTAACGCTGGAGTCAGCCGGGCCGTACGGAAGGCCGGACTTCTCCGTCCCTCCCCACCGCTCCACAGCAAGGGAGCGTCCCGGATCCGAGGCAGCGCTCCAAGACTCCAAATGGCCGCGGCCTGTGCTGTCCCGTTGCTACGGCAATGGGTACAATGATCCCTCTCCGCCCGGCTTCCTCCCCCTCTTCCTGCGCGGGCTCCCCGCCTCCGAACCCTAGGAAAGCTACACCACCCAGGCCTGAGGCAGAGGGACGCGCAGGCGGGACAGTTCTAGAGCGCGGACCCGGGGTCAGCGGGCTCACCCTGTCGGACTGCAGCTCTTCGCCCTGGCACAGGCGGCTGAGGAAGGACTTCTGCTCCCGGCACAGCGTCTGGCGGGTGGTCAGGAACACCGTGCCCCCCACGTTCAGCCGCACCCACTTGCCCCAGCCGCCCCCGGCGCGGCCACCCGCCCCCGCCGGTGGCGCTGCCTCCCCGGCCTCCATCCTCATCGCCGGCCGCGGTGTCTGCATCCTTCCCTCCGCGCGCCGCGGGCGGGTACCAGGCACGGAGCATGCCGGGAGCTGTAGTCTGGAGCCAGGGCTGGGATGCGCTGCTCTTGTCCTGGCGTGTCTCGGACAGCAGGTCCCGCCCCACATTACCTTTTTTGGCGGCCGCTTGGCCAGACTGTTTGGTTTGCAGAACGCCAGGGTCCTAGGAAAACGGGGATCCCGCAGTCGGCTATTCCTCCGATTTGCTCCTTTGTGCGGGGGCCCCAGCTGAGGAATGACTGACCTGAGAAGAACTTTCTTCCTCCAGAGATTCCTATATTTACCTGTACCTACTTTTTAATAGGCTCGAGAGCCTGTATGTGAACTTTTGCATATACGTGTGTGCCAGTGTGTGCGCGCGCGCTCGTGCGCGTGTCCGTTGAAGGGGTTGGAACCCAGGACCTCTGGTATGCTAAACCACTGAGCCACACAGCACCATTTCTTTCTGTTCTGTGTTTGGCAGAGGATCATAGGGATGAGGGCGGGTCACCTCTACCTCCTCCTAAATTCTTTGAGGACATGTAGTTGGATTTAGGGTTGGTTGAACATTTCTGTGTGCCAGAAAGCGGTGTGAACATACATACGTATTACTCATTTCAGCTTCCTGCAGGCCTGTCATGCTCACATCACCAAAACAGCAGCACAGGTGGGGCCCCATACCAGAGTTTGTTTCCTGTGCTTTCCCAGGGTTGTCAAGGATCAGGCCCAGGACTCCCACAGTGATGCTCCACCCAGCTCCCTGCACCTCTCATCTGCCCACAGTCCAGGGGCAAGCAGAGTCAGACACATCAACTCCTTTCCCAGCTCTGGAGTCAGTCTGGACAGAGTGGCTTGAGGGGTGTGAAGGCAGCCCTGGCTTGTAGCGCTTGTGGGGCAGATCATAAGGGTCTGCAGGGTAGTCTGGAGGGGGCAGAAGCCAGAGTGCTCAGGACACCAGTCTTGGGCTAGTCTGAACGAACAGAGTCTGCTTAAGGAGTGGTCGTCCAGAAGACAAAGCTCAGGTCCAGGCTCCCCTGATGCCACGTGATTCCATAAATAGGCTAGAACTGAAGCTTGGAGACCTGGTAGCCTGCACAGGTCTGCTCTGCAAGACAGGGGAAGGAAATAGCCCCTCCCCCATGTTTTTGAGACCCCCTCCTCCCCCTGCTGCCTCTCCCCATGTGGAGTGTGGGCTGTGAAACAGGACTGAGGGGGCACCAAGGCTCTCAGCAAAGCCGGAATGCCGCTGGGACTGGTGTTCAGGGTGATTATTGGGATGGGGAACTAGGTGGGAAGGAAAAATTGGTGTGTGGGGGGAACATATTTCATGGACATGATCTCTGCTGTTCTCCCCTCACTGTTCAGTGAGCTCTTGAGGACAGTTGTCCCTTTTAAGACAACACAGCAGGTACCCAAAGTACCAAACCCTGGACCTGACTTAGGGATGGCCTAGTTTCACTTTTCTGTTGATGTAATATTAACATCCTGCCAAAGCCGACTTGGGGGAAAAATGTTTTATTTGGCTCATAACTCCAGGTCACATCCTTTCCTTGTCGGGAAGTCAAGGTGGCAGGACCTTGAAGACGCTGGTCACATCCACAATGGAGAGCAGAGAGAGAATGAATGCAATGTGCTTGTACTCCATTCACTTCATCTACTCTCACACAGTCCTGGACCCAACCCTAGGAAATGGTGCCACCCACAGTGGGCTGGTCTCTCCACGTCAACTAACATAATCAAGACAATCTCGAACAGACATGCCCACAGGCCAACCTGATTTAGACAGTTCATGACCTCTCTTCTCAGGTGATTCTAAACTGTGTCAAGTTGACAATCAAAACTCGACATCACTGAGGAGGTGAGTGGAGCAAACCCCTTATAAAGATGGAAAGCAGGTCTTCCTCCTACAGGTGTCCTCCAGCCAGGGCCCTGTTATAAGTGCCTGGCCATCGACACCAAAAGCAGTCAGCGAGGACAAGGTCATCAACCACTGTGTTCTCAAATCAGGCTCAGCCGAGGGAGGTGGCTCAAGCCTTTAATCCCAGCACTCAGGGAGGCATAGGCAGGCAGATCTCTGTGAGTTCGAGGCCAGCCTGGTCTGCAAAGTGAGTCCAGGACAGCCAAGGCTACACAAAAAGACCCTGTCTTGAAAACACAAAACAAAACAGAAGAAGGAGGAGGAGGAGGCAGGAGGGAGGGAGGGAGGGAGGGAGGGGAAAAGGAAGGAAGGAAGGAAAGAAGGAAAGAAGGAGAGAAGGAAAGAAAGCCCATGCTCTTGGTATTCTGTCATGAGAATGGTGATGGCATCAGCCACCAGAGCGGCAGGTACTGTTCACTGAGGGATTTTTCTGGTTCAAGTGGGCTGTTACCATTCTGAGACTTGAATACGGATCCTACTTCTCCATGTCTATCTTATGGTACATAAAATAAGGCTCAGGGACTGTGGGCTTGTCCAGTCAGTGCTGGAAGAGGCTCTGACTCAAAGGTTGTCCCACCCTCCTCAGGTCCTGTGGCAACCCTGCAGTGGCTCTCTTGAGGCCACACCACAGGGGAGAGGACCGCAGTCCACACACCTGCTGGTGACTCTGGGCCCAGCACAGTTCAGGGCACTGTCCTGTTTGGCTCCGATCCCAGAGGTGTCACATGGAGGCTGGGCCAGTCCCCTGAGGTAGGTTTGCCTCAATTTTCCCTCCTTCTTTCAGAACTCCTGCCTGGGTGGCAGAGCCCCTTCAAACAGATTCCTGAAGTTCTCCCCCTGTGTTAATGTTTCGTTACTGTAACAAAGTACCTGAGTAAAATCACTTGAAAGGAGAAAGAGTTATTATGTTTTGCTCGGTTTCCGTGGTTTCATTGACTGTTGATTTTAGTTTCCCTTTTTAGGGGTGGGGTGGGGTTGAACCTAGGTCAATCTGCTCATCTTGTTGTGGGAAAGAAGGAAGAGAGAGAGGTTCTACCGTTCTGAAGCATGTCCCACAGTGACCCACTTCCTCCTCCTAGGTCCTATCTCTGAATAGCCCATTTAGCTTGGAACTCATCAGTGGGTTAATCCACTGATAAAATGGCTCCTTGTGCTAATCATCCCCAATGATGCCGTGAGCTGGGGACCAAGTTTTCACAAATGAGCTGGGTAGGGAGCACTTCAGATCTAAACACAACCCCTTCGAAGTGACACCCCCCCCCCAAAAGCGGGTCACATCGAAAGCCAGGTAACAAGGTCCAAGTCCCGTAAACAGCCCACAGCTGCCACTATATTCCTTCCCATTTCTGCCTGGGCTTTGGTCTGGCCCCTTTGGGGAGGGAATGCATGGCAGACTAGGAGGATCTTCATCCAACTGTGGAAACGTCCTCAGCCCTTCTTTCCAGGTGTCTTTCATGTATCACTGGGTATGCTGAGCACCTACTCTGTGCCAAGATTGAAACCTGGAGATGAAGATGTCAGAGGTGGCCCCTGTCTTTCACCCGGGCTTGCTTGCTTCAGGGAAGGTGGGCTTGAGAGGGTGAGGAAAAAGCCCAGAATCCTGGCAGCCAGACTGCAGTCACGCATTGTCTTATCTTTGTGGTTTGTTTATTTGCATGGGGTTTTTGCTGCTTCCTCAGAAGACAATTGGGAAACACTTAGCATTCTTTAGATACTTTCCAGGAAGGTGGCTAAGCCTGAAGAGAGTCAAACTTTAAATTCTCCACTGCCCCCTTTGGGCCTATCTGATGCTTTTCCGGAGGTCCTGGTTCAGCCAGAAATGGGGACAGGTGAGAGCGGAGCACAGGGGTGTAGTCTCCCACACAAGGCTGCCAACCAGCAGCCCAGCTCTGTGGCTTATCTGCTGGATGGCCTTGGAAAGGTCACGCACTCTCTCTGAACCTTATTCCCCCACCTATAAAACGAGACCGACAGCAGCTGTGAAGAAGCGGTCAGTCACGAAAGAGGAGTGCTCACCATGCCAGCTACACGGAGGCCAGAGAGCATCAGCTTTTATGAAGCCAGCCAGCTATTCTGTCAAGAGCGTTGCTTGAGCCAAAGGTTGTCTCATTAGCCGTGGGTCAGCCAGCCTACCACCCACTCCATGCTGGGACTCCAAGGGAAGGCAGGAAGACAGGCTACCCCTAAATCCTCCAGGACAGAGTAGCTGCCGTTGCATGCTAAGCCCCACGGCCCAAAGTGACCCTCCAGTCATTCCACTGTAGGGTCTCAGAAGACCCCCTGAGTTCTCATCTGAGCACATCGCTCGTGGGCTGTCCCATTTCAAGTGTTCTCCTTTTAGCAGCACCTAGCACCTGAGTGGCTTGTGTCACCTCTGCTGGCAGTTCTGTGACAAAGATGTCATTCATTTTGTTCTCCCCACCTCCAAGTTCAGAATGTCAGAACATCCCTATTAGCTTCAAGCCCTTGTTTGGTTCCTCATGTCAGATCCAATTCCACCCCCACCTGGGGGTGGGCTCTGCGCTCATGCTGTGTGGGTGCCGCCTGGCAGTCAGCACCCCGTGCCGGGTCACACGAGGAGATGGAGTGGGTCAGAGAACACACATCTAGCCGTGGGAACTCTTCTCACTGAGCAACAGGCTTCGAAAGTCCAGGGTCTGAATCTGTCCCGTGGTCCTCCACTCATGACATCTGGCTCGCTGGGTCTGCAGCCTCGTCAAACCTCACCTTACACTATTTGCAATAATCAAGCCATGGTGTTAGTTCATTTCGCAACCTCCCAGTGTCCTTCCAGGTAATGAAGGTTGGCTCCCACGATGGAACACCTACAGTGTGCTGAGGCTTGGTAAAGGTGGGGTCCTGGGTAGGGGGGAGAACAGACCCACAGGCCTGGATGTTCCTAACAACTGCATTGCCATGTTTTCACTTAGAATGTTCTAGAATTTTAGCAGATGTTCACCAATATTGTCTCAGGGGTTGGGGCTTGGTTTCCGAGAAAGCCCAGGGTGGGGTGCACACCGGTAATCCTACAACTTGGAGAAAGACTGCATAGGAAGTTTGAGGTCAGCCTAGGCTGGGGAGACCCTGTCTCAAAGATACATAGATAGAGAGATGATAGATAGATAGATAGATAGATAGATAGATAGATAGATAGATAGATAAAATGAGCCCTCCATCCGTCCCTTGAGCTCACAGGACTTGAGCTCACAGCCCATAACTCTCTCCCATTCCATGGGGTGCCTTTACAACTCCACTTAAAATGTTGTGAAAGGGCAGTCTGAGGCCAAGCATGGTGACACACACCTTTAATCCTAGCACTTGAGAGGCAGAGGCAGGAGAATCTCTGTGAGTTTGATGCCAGCCCGGGATATACAAGGCTAGTTCCAAGAGAGCCAAGACTGTATAAAGAGACCCTGTTTCAAAACAGGAAGAAAGGAAGGGGGAGGAAGGAGAAAGGGAGGGAGGGATGGGGAGAGGAAGGGACGGAGGGAAAGAGGAAGGAAGAAAGGAAAGAAGGAAAAGAAGACAGGAAGGAAGGAAAAAAAGGAAGGAAGGAATTGCCTGCTCATGTTTTGCAGGCACAAACCTGTGATGTGACAGTAGCTGGCCTCCAGCAGAACCGCCTGGGCCTGGGAGCTGCTCCCTTCAGCCAGCAGGGGGCGCTCATCAGACCCCTCCGTCCTGAGAAGGAAGACACACTGACCTACCGGTTCCGCTGCGGTCTAGGTGGCTGGGTGTTCAGAAGCTTGGCTATGACCTGTGGCTTGTTTGTCTGTTCTCAACCTACACCGTGTGTCCCTCAGAATCCCAGCCCTGGCCATCCGCGCCAGGCACGTGGTGTGTGATCACTTTAATCCCAGTCTAGGCTGCGCTGAAAGGATCCAGAGGAAAGTTCCCGCTCCATCCTATCCTCCCCCACCCCGCCCCCATCTGTGACCTTCTGCAGAGGCAGCTCCTGGTGGCAGCCAAGGATACAAGCCGAAGAAAGGAAGGGCAGAGAAGACATCCCTTGCCCAGACTCTCTTCTGGTGGGACTTTCTTGAGACTAGAACACGTGTCTCAAACTGGCTAGTTCTGTTTTGTTTTCTGGTGGTTGTGGTTGTGGGGGGGGAGGCGTCCTTTGGAGCTCTCACTTCTGGGAATGGTTCAGTGGAATGCCCTTCCTCTGATAGGTCCTTGGATACTGCTCCAAGAATAACGCTATAGGTTGTGGGTCCCGACCTGTGGGTCTCGACTTCCTAGACAGTCCAACTGTCCTTAACCACTTTCATCGTGAGAACAGCTTTAGATGGTCTCTGTATCTTGTTTTCAGGATGTGGGTCCAGTTAGCTGCCCAGCGGAGACGGAATAAAAAAAAAAATGTATGAAAAATAAAAACGTTTATCTTCAGGCTTAAAGAAATGTTACAAAAATACTCCCCCATCCCTAAATATCACTGCTTCATTACCTTTGTCATCTACCCCTCCCTCTCTCTGCCTTTTCTTGCTCTCTAAGCAGTTTTTGTTCTTTTAATTAATAAATTGCCAAGTTGTCAGTTGTCAGTGGCTTCTTCCTTGTAAATTCAGCGAAGCTTTCTAACACCAGGCCCATTCCCCCGTGCCTACAGTATAGGCTCAGTATAGGATCCAGGTTGGGGTGAGGTGGCGATCGGGGGGAGGGCTAGGCCTGATACGATACTGTAACCTGTCTACAGATGTCCTCAAACTTCCATCTAATGTTCTTTCTAACTGAAGAAAAGACATGCAAAAACCAAAACCAAAAACAAATGAACAAACAAGAACAAAAACCATCTCCATCCAACCTGTCCGGTACTTGATCTGCCAGCTCCTGCCCTCACTCCTACTATGTCGCCTTGCTGTCCTGGAACTCAAGATCCTCTAGCCTCAGCCTCCTGAATGCTAGAATTCCAGATCTTCACCACCACACGGAGCCCCTCTGCTCTCTGCTGGTCTGCAGCGGCTCCTGTGTTTCGCTTTTGAAGCCCGTAGGTGACCTGTGTAGCGCGCTCTTCACTGTGGCTCTGGGTCCCCTCGCCACTGAGCTGCTTTCTCAGCAGCTGGGTGCCCCCTCCTGGAGAGGTGCTGAGGGTAGGTTTCCAAGCCCTGTGGTCGCCTCTCCTTCCTGAATAAATGATTTGTTGAGGAGAGAGGGGAGGGCATGCTGATTGTCTTCTCCTCCAGCTAATCTAGCTCATTATGAATCTCAGTATTCGCTGATTAATCCTGTGTGGAATAATCAACTGTGGTGATGGCCAAGCTCTGATTTTGTTATCTGCTTCTGTATTCACTGGGTGTCTGTCTATTGAACAGCCACCCCCTGTCTCCTGAGTTAATTAACTAACTAGTTAATATCAGTACAGAATATTAATTAATGCACATATTAATTAATTAAAATGTAGGCTATCGCTTAATATTAATGCCAACTACTAGAGTCTTTATTCTACGGGTTATATAATATGTTACTACTGTTATTTTTACACTTAAAATACCTAAGATTTGATTAATGGAAACTTCATCTTCAGGGCTTCTGTATCTCTTTGTCTTTAAATTACTGGACTGGGAATGTGAATGAACTGGTAGAGTGCTCACCTGCCGTACATGAAGGCCTGGATTCCATCCCCAGCACAGCATACAGATGTACAGCATGGCAAAGGATGGCAAATCCAGCGTTCGGGAGGTAGAGACAAGAGGGCCAGAAGTTCAACGTCATCCTCAGCTATACTGAGAAGCTGAGGCCATTCTGGGCCTGTGAGACCCTCTCTAATGAACACACACACACACACACACACACACGAAGCTATTAAGTGACTTAATACTTAATATTTTAAAATTGTAGTAAAGCATAAAAAACAATGAAATTAGACGACCTAAGAGATTTTAAGGCCAGTGTTCAGTGGCATAAAGTCATACTTCTGACATCACCCGCATGAAAACACTATTCCAGCATTACCACCATTGCCACGGTCCCCACCACCAACATCCTCACCGTCCTCAACAAATCACCATCCCCGCCATTCCCACAGTCCCCTTCATCCCCTTCATCCCCTTCATCCCCGCCATCCTCACCAGTACCACCACCACCTCCACCACCACCCCCTACCGCTACCATCCCTGCGAACAGCACCAGATGGAGAATGCACAAATGCTCACCACGTTCTCTCCCAGCTCCAGCAGCGACCAGGTTCTTCGCACGGATAATGCAGCTTAAACGCCCGCCTGGCCAGGTTCACAGCCCTGAGGTCATTGCTCCTGTGGGCCCTTAGTGAACAGCGCAAGTTAGGATAGTGTGTCTAGTGTGTCTAGCCACGTGTTTCTAGTCCCACACGTGGCTGCACACAGAGACACACGCTCGTACCCGTGCATGCACACAATCACGTGCGTTCATTTCTCTCTCTCCTTCCCCTCAGAACCCTGAGGTCACTGACACTTCTAACTCTGACCCAGGATGGTGAGTCACCTCTCCCCTGCTGCCTTGTTTTCCTCTCTCTAGCAAAGAAGACGTTGGTTTCCAGGTTTCTGGATTTGCTCGTTTTGTCTTTTGTCTGAAACACACACAGTCCTAGCAGCCGAATGTCACCTTCAAGTATTGCCTGGATGGGCTGAGGCGCTGAGAGAGCCAAGGGCTTGTCTCTGCCTGAATCACAGCTGGCTTAGCTTGCTACGGAAAGTGCTGTGTTCCGTTCTCATCACCACTGCCGATTGATTGGTTGGTTAATTGGTTGGGATTATTTTTTGGCTTGGTTTGGTTTCGGTTGTCACAAATCTATAAGCAGGAAAACACAAAAGTACAGTTCCAGGACTCCACCGATCCTGATATTTCCGCACATCCCCATTGGTTCTCATTCCTTTCTGAGTTATTCTTTCCCATGACATTTTACAGGAGTGAACAGGACCACGTCTCTTTCTGAACTTCCGTTTTCTTACACAGTAGGAACCGCAGCCGGTACTGTGCATGGTCTTTTCTGCTTTACTTTTTTCACTTAACACTTTGTCTTAGGCCTCATATCAAAGTTTGATAGGCTTTGTTAACTTCCTATCTCTCTCTTTCATTTTTAAAATGTTTCTGTCACCAATATTATTATTATGTGTGTGTGTCTCAGGTTGTCAGGCTTATGCGGTAAGTATTTTTACCTGATGAGCCATCTCACTGACCTTTCTCTCTCTCTCTCTCTCTCTCTCTCTCTCTCTCTCAGGGCTAGAGAGACAGCTTAGCACTTAAGAGAACTTGCTGTTCTTCCAGAGGATCCCAGTTCATTTTCCAGCCCCAGCTCCTCTGACGGCACCTACATACATGTATTGTACAAGCATACACACAAATTAATTTTTTTAATCTTTATAAAATAAGTAAAACAAGGTCTTGCTATGTTGTTGAGGCTGGCTTCGAACTCTCAGTCACCCTGCCTCTGCCTCCTTGGGGTTACAGTTGGCCACCAAGTCCACCATGCCCATCACACCCACCATGCCCTAACACTGGTTGATAAATTTATTGCTATTGAAGTCAAAGTTTTCTCTCCCTTCTCTATTGTTTGAGTGTCTTCAGAATGTCTATTTGCATATGTTAATTTTTACAGGACTGATTAACTGTTTAGGTAGCTCTTAGTCTTAATTCTCTGTGGTATTTCAAGTCATATTACTTGAAAAGAAAATAAAAGATTTGCTTTCCTTCTGTCTTTCAGATTTTTATTTGTTTGTCCTAGGCTGGCCTGAAGTTCCTCATTCTCCTGCTTCAGCCACCAGAAATTACAGGCATGTGTCACCGTGCTTGACCAGTAATTAATATTGTAAAAATCAGTTATTTTATTTATTTATTTATTTTTGGGTTTTTGAGACAGGGTTTCTCTGTGTAGCCTTGACTGTCCTGGAAGTCCCTCTGTAGCTCAGGCTGGCCTTGAACACACAGAGATCTGCCTGCCTCTGCCTAAGTGCTGGTATTAATAGTGTGTGCCACCACTCCTGGTTTTATTCCATTTTGTTCTATTATTTTATTTTATTTTGAGACAGGGTTTCTCCGTGTAGCCCTGGCTGTCCTGAAACTTGCTCTGTTGACCAGGCTGGCCTCAAATTCAGAGATCTGCCTCTGCCTCCCAAGTGCTGGGATTAAAGGTGTGCACCATCATGACTGGATGAAGATTTGCTGCTTAAGATCATGAGGCTTCCAGTTACCTTGACAGTGATCCTTTCTTCTGGTGACTCACCCTCCCCTGTGCTCACTGGCTGACGGTCTTCCAGCATGTGCCAGGGCTCCCCTGAGCCTGGAAAAATTCTTGTTTCTGTATCTCAGAAGAAAAGCCGAGGCCCAGGAATACAGTTTCTGGGCAAGGCCAACTCCGAAGTGCCAGGCATAGGACTGCACTGATCCACGATTCAACTATCTTGTCAGTGGGTGCTTTGGACCATGACCCTTATTGGCAATGGTGCGGAAAACTGGAACATTCTGATACAGCTGGTTAGACAGGGCTGGGAAAGGCCTCAGCACGGTGGGGGTGCTCAGCAAATATTTGTCAGTCGGACAAAACTCTGGCCATTGCTGGTGTTGCAAGCTCCTCCTTGGATCCCACAGAGTGGGGGTGGGGAGGGGTGCTTGCCGGCTGAGGCGGGGCCTGCAGAGGGCAGTCAATTATTCTGGGGTTCACCCTCACAGGAGGCAGGGCAGAGCTCGGAGGTGGCCCTGGGTCATTGCTGGAAGACCCTGGCTAAGTTCAGGTTTCCTCAAAATCTGTTCCCATTGCGTCGGATTTTCCAAGGACAGAAAAGCCTCAGCTGGGTAGTCTTGAGTGGGGGGTGGGTCGAGAGTTTCTGGCTGAAAACCCATCCCTCAAGCCTCCCCTAGAGCTGTGGAAGCGATTTGCCATGTGTCATGCATGTGGTGCACATATTTCTGTCCTCTGTAAATCTGGAAGAAGAGCGCAGGCGTGGTCCTCCGAGAGACCCCTGCACTGGATGGTTCTCCAGTGAGGCTCCCCTCAGGTTAGCTGTGCACTCCACCTCTCTCGAGTTCTTGTTCTGTTTTCCCTTATAAATGCAGCCTGTTAGAAAGCAGATCACTTCACGGTGCTCTTTACTCTCTGGAAAATGATCGAAGGTTTTGGTTTCCTCTCTTGGTTTGGAGGCTCCTGAAGCAAAGACACGATTCTTGTGTTAATTATTTTTGTCTCCTGATGCCAGAGAAAAAAAGGTAACCGTGCCTAGCTACTAAAAATATGCTAAAAATAAACACCGTTGGGGCTGGTTAGGCGGCTCAGTGGATAGAAGCACTTGCACCCAAGTAGGGTGACCTGAGTTTGATCCCTCAGACTGGGAAGGAGAGTCCTGACTCCCAGAGATGTTCTTGGATCTTATGTGAGCATTGTGGAGGGCAGAGAGAGAGGGAGAGAGAGAGAGAAAGAGGGAGAGAGAGGTAAAAAAAATGAAAAAGTGTAAAAATACAAAATAAGTAACTAAGTAAGTAAATAAACAAACCCAAACATTAGTAGTTGATTCTTACTGTGTCCAGCATCAGGCTGAAGTATTTCTGTACATTATGTTAGTTTATCCCTCCTTTTGCTTAAGGAAGAACAATGAGGTCAACTTAAAAGATGAGGAAATCAAAGCTAAGGGAGTCTGCAGCAAGCCCAGTTGGTCAGGAAGCCCCTGTGGAGAGGCTGGGTCAGGAGGGAGAAGGGCTCATGTCTCTCCTAGAACAGACTCCTCCAGGGAGACCAAGCAAGGCTCACCTGAGCCAAGCGGGAAGGGAGGAATTGGATGTGAAACTGGGGGGCTTCACATCAGTTGAGGGGCTGAGAGTGTCTCTGCCTCTGCTGTTCCTGACGGCTGCTGTCCACCGTCCTTTGCTTGTGAGGTAGTGTTCTCTCCTTGGAGTCTCATAGTTGGACATCAACTGGCATCTGTGGGGCAGAAGCCAAAAATGCTGCTGAGTGTCCAGTGGGTAGGGGAGGCCCTCAGGGCAGAGTTGTCCAGCCTGAGGCTGTCTGTGAAAGGTTTCTGTCTGACTCCCCCCTTCTGAAGTGACTGGCTTTTCACTTCACAGAACAGTGGGCAGGGCTCCAGGAGGGCGGGGCTTCCTTCAGAACTCTTGCTGCTGGTAGCAAGAGGCCATGCCACTGGCTCCTCCCTGTTCTGTGGACTTAACAGAATCAGAGAGGGAGCTCAGCATCAGGATCCTGGGCCTGGGTCCCAGCTCTGCAGGAAACACACCATGGTTAGGTACTGTCTCACTTTGGTATATTCCGAAGCTAAAACAGCTAATGCCACCTCCCAGGTCCTAGTGACAGCTGATGTGGTGCTTCTGGGAGGGCATTCAGGGAGAGGGGTCTGTAGCTTGGCTCTGTAGTACAGCAGTTCTCTAGCAGGTATGAGGCCCTGGGTTCAATTCCCTGCACTGCCAGAATGGGGCAGAAAACTCAGGGAAGGATGACCAAGAACTTTTTAGATACCTCTGCTCAGCTCTGCCAGAGAATAACTACAGACAGCAGTGTGTGGAGTCCCTCTTCTGGAACAGCGGGTAGGCTGGTTCTCTGGAGCAGAAAGGCTCAAAGCCCTCAGTCCCCCCATACTCCAGCAAGGTTGGAACAGCTGCCTATGCTGTGGACCTTTCTTTCTCCTGAAAGGACCTCCTCTGTTGTTCACCTGCATGTAAAAGGCTTCCTGTGGGGTCCCAGACAAGCCACAGCTAACTTCACCTGACATCACCCAGAGGCAGGGCTGTGGAGACATCATAATCGGTTTCGGGCTGGCGGGGCTTACATTCAGCCCTCAGGACCTCGGGTCTCAACACACACGCAGATCCACAGGCACACAAACTCACATGTGCACACATACAAATAAAATGAAGAGCCCAGAAGGCAGAGGGAGACGCCAGGATTGTGGGTGGATGAGTTTGTCACAGCATCTGAGAACAGGGTCTCTGAGGCCCCAGCATCAACCGAAGGCTACAATGTTTTCCCCCCAGGCCGGGAGACCTCCTAAAGCTGCTAGGTGTGCAGGGACCCCTGGCTCCTCAGGAAACAGACGTTCTCACAACCACAAAGCTTCTGTGCGTTTTGTTTTATTTCTCTACAGTGAAACAAGCTAGGTGGGCCCCAGCTTAGCACCTTGCAGGCTGGTCTGCTGCCTGGCCTCCCTCCCTCCCTCCCTCCCTCCCTCCTTCCCCTGGGTACCCTTTTATTGCCTGCCACCTTCATAGCTACCTCCACTGGGCTCCCAGGAGTCACTGGATCTCCCGGTCTCTGGGGTGTCACCCCAAACACCACCTGAGTTGTCTGAGGAAGGACCCTCCACAAAGCAGAGTCAGGGTGACCAGACTTGGCACTGCGGTGGTCAGGTGTCACTCAAGCTGTACTGTGTCCTGCCGGGCCTCACTGGGTCTTCCCTCGGCCCTCGGAGATGATATGCTCGGGCTGGGCACGCATGTACCACTCCACCCAGGAGCCGTCATAGACAGGCACGTCGGGTTTGCCACAGAGGAAGGCCCCTAGGGCCACGTGGCAGGCTGTGACACCGGAGCCACACGTGGCAACCAAGGGCTTGGACAGGTCCACCTTCTTTTCCTGGAACATGCGTTGGATCTCCTCTGGGCTCTTCTCCAGACCCTCCTTGGTCAGGAATTCAGTGAACGGGATGTTTATGGAGCCGGGGATATGGCCGGGTTCAATGCCTGCACAAGAGGGACACAGGAAGGGCAAGTTGAGTGATGCCTAGTGTTGCTGGTATTTGTGGTATCAAGCCCACCAAGGCAGAATGCCACACGGCTCCAACGACTTATCTTATCCTCCAGCTACCAGTGCTAGGCAGCCCCACTACACAGATGGCCAGCCTGAGGAACACCCAAAGCCACCAGACCCAGATAATTGCTGGCTCGAGTTTGAGCCCAAGACTCTACCAGAGTCACACAAGACCCTGAGCTTCCTGACTGTGAACCTTGGGGGCAGCAGAGCCATACACAGGACCTCTGTCCAACGAGAACTTGGGACAGGAGGAGGCCTAGAGACTGTGTACAGGGCAGACAGGCAATAATTAGATGATTGCTAGTGTGACAAGAATGCCCTGGGATTATAGCATAAAAATAGCAGCAGTACGCAAATCAGCTGACAAGGCAGAACGCTTGCTTCGCGCCTGACAGTACCTGGACCCCGTCAGCAGCATTTTCTCCTTTAATACCATCCAAATTCCACGAGAAGAAATGACTGCCACCCCCATCCCCAGGAGAACAAGGTGCAAACACTAGCATGCTCCAGCTGGCAGTGGGTAGAAAGAGTTGTAACCACCCCAGAGCCTGTGCTTGTACCTAGGGAGGGTGGGGCCTTCTCCCAGGATGAGTAGAAGCATGCAGATAGGAAGAGCCCAGGAATTAGGCAGAAAACATCATTGCTGCCAGGGCTCAGACAACAGGCCTGGACGACTTTGGGCTCCCCCTGGTCACCAGAGAAGTCAGGGTTTGTTTGTTTTTCTTTCTATTTTTCTTTTTTGTTTCAAGACAGGGCTTCTCTCTGTAGCCTTGGCTGTCTTGGACTCGCTTTGTAGACCAAGCTGGCCTCGAACACACAGCCATCCACCTGCCTCTGCCTCCCCGAGTGCTGGGATTACAGGTGTGTGACGACACACACCTGGCTGGGGAAAATCAGTCTGTATTCTTAAAGAGAATTCAGTCTTGATGCTGGGGGTGTGGCTCAGCGAGTAGATGGCTTGCCTAGCATGCATGAAGCCTTGGCTTTCACCCTCAGCACCCCCAAAAACAATTCTGGGGATGCCTGCCTGTGATCCCAGCACTTGGGAAGTGAAGGCAGGAGGATCAGAAGTTTAACGTTACTAAGTTACATAGTCATGTTTGAAGCCAACTTGGGCTACACAAGACTCTGTCCACAATAAAAAAAAAAAAAAAAAAGAAAGAAAAAAGTGTGGATTAGGAGGAGTGTGACTTTACCCATTGCTCGGAAGCCCCATGAGCTCCAACCTGCGTTTTGTCTCTAGATTTATTCCAGCCAGAGGTTGCTAAAGCCCTGTTTTCACAGGAAGGCTGAGACTCACACCACAGTGAAACCTCACAGCTGTCAGTTGGGCCATCTGGATCCTGAAATGCATCTGTGAGAAACTTCTGCCTTGGTTTCCCCGTACAGGGAGGGACAGACAGGTCTTTGTGGGAGCTGCTGGTCAGCACTGGTCTCCATCCTCCGAGGACAGCTAGAGACGGCATTCCTGGGCTCAGGGAGGATCCAGTGACTTGGTCATTCCCCAGTGAAGTGAGTCTCCTAAGTCAACCCAAGCAGTCTTTTGCAAAGCCCCGAGAGGAGCAGGCTATCCAGCCAGGGTGCAATGGCTAAGTCAAGTCAGGGCTTCCTACACCTCCAGCTTTACCAAGCAAAGCATGCACCCTGCCCTGCTGGACTGACACAGCAAATTGCAGCCGTGCTTGGCCAGGAAGTAGAAATGGTAAATGCTAAGAAGCCTTCCAGCCTGGTAGCCTGGATCGTGTTAACTAGGCTGTGAGGTCCTCACCATTCAGTCCCATCTACAGGTGAGTAAGGGCTGTAGAAAATAGTTGGCTATTAAGGGTTATTATGAAGCCTCAGATTATGATGGCGGCTGATTATCTATCCCACTATCATATCGATAAAAGACATAGGCACCTGTTAGATTTTTAAGATGTCTATACATTGGGGCTGAGTCTCTGCTTCCTTCTTCCCTACTCTCCTTCCTGCCTCTCCCCACCTAAGCTCCTTCTCCTGCAAGGCCTCTGACCTTAGCTCCGCCTACCTTACTTCTGCCCTGCCCGGGTGTGTAGGCAACTTTCTTTAGCCAGTCAGGGGTAATTTCTTCGGAGGCAAGGTTACACAGTTTATCACTTTGGTATACACAAGGGACTGTTCATAGAAGAGTAAGAATCTTGGGGGTGCAAGCAATTAACCTCTGAACGCAAAGCACCAGACAAATAAGTGTAGTTGATGGCAGGACACTCTAAATATGTCCGAAGGAGCATGGGTAGAGAAACACTGGCTGATGATGCCACTCCCCACCTCGTGGGTGCAGTTTATCTGAGTGTGCGAACAGAGCTGGGCAATTTAGTTACGTTTGCTCTTTTACCCCATGACATCGCACTGCGTTTCCCGTAACCTATTGTTCTCTTTATACACGTACAAGGGCCACCACCCAGAGGGGTGACCTGCCGGGTGCTACACAGGAAGTACAGCACAGCCAGGGCTCTGAAACAAAGCCTGTACCGGCAGAGAGGGCACAGGGCCATGGCTGGCTCCTGCACCCTAGCGGGCTGAAGAGAAATGATGGGGGAATTGCTGTTTGCTCACTGTTAAGTATGTGAGGAGTCTGAATCCAGAGAGGCTCCTTCCTGAGACCTCGGGCAAGGCGGCTATTCTAGGGCTATTTTCCTCACCTGCACAATGACAGTGCAGGAATCACTCCGGATTTTGAGGAGAATTGGTGCCTGGACCCCACAATTATCTGAAACATGTCCTATCATGTAATCTACACACACCCTCCTAACAATTAAAATGTCTCTAGGTTTTTCCCTGACTCCTTTCTCTCTCTTTTGAGTCTTGAGACAGGATCTCACTCTGTAGGTCAGCTGACCTGGAAATCACCATGTAGCCCAAGCTGGCCTGAAACTCATGGTCCACCTGTCTCAGCCTCCAAAACGCTGGCATCACAGCCACGAGGCGCTGCACCTATCCCTAGATTTCTTTCAATACCCATTACAGTTGTAAATGTTGGGAACAAGCAAAAGAAACTTGTTCCGAGTTCTACCATTTTGTTTTCAGACTCCATTTCATCACTGGGAAAAACTACATTCAGGGTACTAGGCCCTAGGGAATCTGGGGACTCCCCCATAGCTGAACAGCGTCTGTTGTAAAGGAAACAGTTATCTCGAGTCCAGACATCTCAGGGAAAACTTGAAACAACTGTCTGAGTCTAGCCATTTCAAGGACAACTTCTCCATCTTGCTGGCAAGGTCAACTAAGTTCAGGTTCTCAGGCCCAGGAACCTACTCCTATCCTGACGGATGGACATTTCCTTGTACAACCCCTTATGTTGAAATATGACCGAACAATACTACAGCCCACCCTGCTCCCCCCCACCTTATGGTTTCCTTCTTTAGATACGATGTACAGCGTCCCTTCAGGGTCATAGTTCAGCTCCTGAGCCTGTTCTGCGGCTCTGATCGGTCAGTATCGGCTTGATTATAATACATTTTTGTCACCTGCATTGACCTGGTATTTGAGTTCTGTTGGCTTTGAGTGGACCTCACAACAGTAAATGCTAAGGACAGGGGAAGGAAGAGCACAGCCTCAGCACAGACCAAAATAATAGTAGTAATAATAATAATAATAATAATAATAATAATAATAATAATAATACTTTTTGGAGGTTGTTTAAACATTGGCATGTGCTATCTGCCGGTACTGAAGGCTGGCTCTACCTATCTCCTGAGAGGTTTGAAAGGCTTACATCAGCATGGATGGCTATAGGCCTGTCTGCTTTGTGGGTCCCTTTCCACAGTACACAAGGGCTTTGCTTCGATAAGCCCAGGCCATAGGCAGCTGGCTTGGCCCTCACCTGGGGCACCAACCATTAAAATTTGGGCGACCCACCCTATCTCCCCCCCCCCCCATCAACTGCAGGCCACACTTCATCAGGACCAAGTATGGGTCCTTCCCTAAGCTCTGTGGGGACTGCCTTCCGGTATTTTGTGGTGGCCATAACACAGGCAATGTATTGCAGAGTTATTGGGCTGCTGTTGCGTTCTGGGTATCCTGGATTCTCAAGGGTGTGTAGGCAACCTCAGCCCAAAGTTCGGAAACTTTGAGGTGGTGTTGTGGCCTCCACTATAAGGAAGCCAGAGGCTTTCAAGTGAGGCGCCCAACAACCAACCCTTCTCCCTTGCTCGGTATGCATGAAAGGCCAGCACAAGGCTAGTCAGTGTCCAGCGCGCACACCAGCCTGTCCCCACGCCCTGATCCGCCAGTTTTCCTGGCGCGTTACCATCTCGGGGTTCCGGGTCAGTGCCTCGAAACCGCCCGGCCGCACGGGCGTCCACGACCTGGAAGCTCCGGGTCTCCAGGTTCTCCAGGATGTCCTCGTGGGTCTTGATGAAGGAGGGGTCGAGCTTCGCGGAGAACTCCGCCGGCTCCGAGGGGCTCCTGCCGGAGCTGATTGGCAGGTTCTGGCTCAGCCAGTGGCGGAGGCCGCCGTCCAGCAGCGACACGGAGCGGTGGCCGAAGACGCGGAACATCCACCAGACCCGCGGGGCGGAATAAAGGCCCTGGTCGCTGCCGTCGTAGATTACGACGTGCGTGGAGGCGCCCACGCCCAAGCTGCCCGCGTAGTCGGCGAAGTGCGCGGCGCTCGGCAGCATGTGGTCGTAGGGCGACGTGAGGTCGCTGCAGCGATCGATGTCAAAGAAGGCGGCGCCCGGGATGTGGCGCGCCTCGAACTCGCGGCGCGCGTCGCGGCCCAGCTTGGGCAGGTACCAGGAGGCATCCAGTAACTTCAGCGGCTGCGAGGCGCGCGGGGTCCGCAGGGCCTCCGCCACCCACTGCGCCGACACCAGCGCTCGGAAAAGCTGCGGGGCGGCCATGACCTTGGGGATGCTCGGATCGCGGGCCTGCAGGACAGTGAAGAGATCAGAATCGGGAGGCCCGCCTGTCAGGGGCTGAGGTTGCGGCCTGTGTGCTAATCGGCGGGGGTGGAGCCTGCGCACCGGCAGAGCAGAGTCCAGGAATGCAGACAGGGCCTGCGGTGAAGCCAGGTTCTGCCTTTATCACCCAGGGACGCCCCCTGCCAGGCCTTGAATAATACTCAGCTTCAATTGACGTTACCACCGTGGGCGACAGGAGAGGGTGGTGCGCGCCCCTCACTCTCTATTTTTTTTTCCCCTGGGTCGGGTGGAGCCAAGGACAGGTTCAATTGGAGCTTAAGTAAAGCAAACAAGGCCAAAGTTTCAGCCCTTCTCTAAGATGCAGCCCAGCTCCACAGCCAATCAAATCCGCTCATTCATTGAGCAGTTCTGGGTGTCCAATGGGAGCAATAACCGGCGTTCACCCTTAGCCCAGTATTACAACACTTGACAGGCAAGCCTCTCCCCAACCTGCCGAAGGAGCAGGCTTTAGGAGTTTGGTACTGTCACCTTCTTCTGAAAGCCACTGAGGCTTTGAGTCACCTCGCGTGGAAGCTCCTAAGTAACTATAATACCGGTACTTAGGAGACTGAGGTAGGAGGACCAGAGTTCAAGGACAGCCTAGTCTACATAGGAAGTTCCAGACCAGCCTGGACTACTCAGCAAAAACAAAACAAAACAAAACAACCAGAACCAGAACCAAACCAAACCAAACAACAAAAGCAAAACAAAACAAAACAAAACCACACACACAAACAACAGAAACCAGGGTATTAAGTGGAGATAGGCTTGAACCTGGGGTGGGGGCGGGGCAGAGCTGGTAGGCCCCAAAGCAACTCAAGCATCAAGGCAACTGGGAGTTTAGAGCGAGCACCAAGGTCTCTACCTCGGCCTGGATGGGAGGGAGAAGGTGGAAGGGCTTTCTGAAGGAAGCAGAAGCACACTAAGACTCAGGGAGAAAAACAAGGAGGTGAGCCAGGTAGTGGTGGCCCACACCTTTAATCCCAGCCAGAGGCAGAGGCAGGCAGATCTCTGAGTTCAAGGCCAGCCAGAGCAAGTTCCAGGACAGCCAGGGCTACACAGAGAAACTGTCTCAAAAAAGAAAACAACAACAACAACAACAAAGAACAAGAAAGGAAGTTGGTTGGTCATGGACTCCAGCTAAGGACTGATCGCAGTGTTTGCCATGCATTGGATGTGACAAGGGTATGTGCACAGAGGGCAGGGAAGCCAGGGCCGGTGGGACAATCCTTTCATGAAGGACAGAAGCAACTTCACCTCCATCATTCTAGGGAATTTTTGCCTCTCCATCTCTGATTTCAGAGTCAGACAGCACAAATGCCCTGGCACAGGCTGTTTGTGTGGGCATGATGGTTCCTCTGTGTGTGTGTGTGTGTGTGTGTGTGCGCGTGCAGGGCAGAGGACAATCTCAGATGTCAGATGGCGCCTCAGGCATTAGCCATTTTATTTCATTTTTGGGATAGGAGTCTTTCTGTGGCCTGGGACCCACCTTGGCTGGCTGCACACTGAGCCCCAGGGACGTACCTGTCTCCCCCCCCCCCCCCCCGTGCCGAGACTACAGGCATGCAACACGCCTTGTGTTGCTTATGTAGGCTGCGGGGACCCAACTTGGGGCCTTGTGCTTTCCCGGCAAGCTGGCTGAGCCATCTTCCCAGGAGCACCACCCTGCCCCCTTCACGGTCTCACTCTGTATCCCGGAACTTGAAAACATCTCCCTCCTGCCTTAGCTTCAGGAGTAGGGCCATTACAAGCATAAGCTGCTATGTCAGACTCCAAAAACCACCTCTTAATGAGACTGAAAAATAAATACAGAAGGGCCACCATTTACTCCACATACAGCTTCTTTGAATGATCGCCTAGGGTAGTTGAAAGCAAAGCTGTTGTAAAGTAAAGCGGCTCTTGAATCTACCCCTACATACTATCTTAGACTTCCAGAGGGTGGGGCTTCAGAGGTCTGAGGTCACCTGACCCCACCCCCCCTGTTTGATTGACAGCTATCACAAAGGACACTGGGCAGCAGAAAGAGGGCTATGGGTGTCCCTGAGGGGTGGAAAACAGGAAGAGAGTAGGTTCCTTTGCGCTTGGAGGGCCAGGATTCCAGGCGAGAATGCTCTCTCTGGAGGACTGTCAGGACACATAGAGCAGCTCCAGGCCATCCTAAGGCATATATGCCACACATATGCAGGGGCACGAGGGCACCTCCCCACCGGGACCCTCCTGGCACCGTCCCCACCGTCAAGCACAAGGCTCAGGGTACCCTTGGAAAATGCTAAGCAGTGTTTGAATTTTTGCAACACACAGCATTTCAGGGCAGGATCAATGTTTAATAACGGGTGGGGGTGGGGGTGGGGGGGAGGGGAGTCCAAGGGAAAAGCATTCCAGGGGAACAGAAGAGACTAAGAGAGGTGGGGTACAGCCAGTTTGCTAGAGCCATGCTCTGCCTCCAGATGTTTAACCAGTTGGCATTTACATAAATTTACAACGAAGCGGTAAAGATTGAAGGCCAAGGGGATTATATTCAAGGACGGGCAGGGAGACTAAGGCGGCTCCCACCGCTTTGGGCTTCAGGTCAGAAATTAATCCCTACTCCACTCCGCGCCCTAGAGCCTCCTGGCACTACCTGTTTCTCCTGTTGGGAGAAGTTTCAGCCCTATCCCGCAGGTTCGTCGAGGCCCTCGGCAGGGCCTCGCCACCGCAGGAGGGCCTGATAAACGTTAGTTTCATTCCATTCCACTGTGTTCTACTACTTTTTCCTCCTGGGGAGCCTTGGGTGTTCTCATCACAGGCCCTCTGAATGGCTTTGTGGGTTCTCTCGGACCTCCTACTTTCTCGGGGAGGCACCAGGACATTCCAAACCCCAGCCGGCCACTGCTACCTGCCTGCCTCTTACCCAACCCAACCCACAGGCGGGCACAAGGAACTCTGGACAGCCCCTTGTAAGGCAAGTTAGGGGAGCCCTGGAAACTCTCCTCTCGTAACCAGCACCCCCTCCTCCACTCCCGCGTGGTGACACGCTATGCACCCCCGAAGAGCACCCTCCCTCACAGGACGCGTTGGGTAGCAGACACTAGGGTCTCGCGCTCCCTGCTCCGCCATGTCACCCCCTCCCCGGGCCCTCAGAGGTCCCCTCCTTCCGCTACCAACCTGCGACCAGCCAAAGGGAGGAGACTCGGGCACAGCCCACTGCCTTAGCCACTCCGAGCAGCTGCTGGCTGCACCTTCCATTCCCCGGGCCGCGGGGGGAAGAACGCGCCGTGCAGCCGGGTTGCGTGCTGTCCCAGAGTCACCCGAGCCTTTCGTACCCCCCTTCGGGTGTGAAAAGCGTTATGCCAGGAGGGGGAAAACAGAATTTCGGTGCCGAGGTGCAGGAGCTGCTCAGAGTCCCGACTGTCTGCGAGAAAAGCACCCCCCATGGGAGGCGGCGCAATGGTGAGGGCCACTTGAGGACGCTCCCGGCTCCCGGTTTGAACCCGTCCGCCTCTCTGGAGTGTAAAGGCCGGTGCCAGCCAAGCTACTGGGGCGATTGGATCGCTGCGGGCCGCCCGGTGTGGGCCCGCTGGCTGGATCATAGCGGCGAAAAGAGGGCAGGGTACTGGGAGCGCCTTCACGGGATTGGGGCATTCCAGAAGCCAGAGGACCCAGGCTTCAGAAAACAGAAGCAGAAGGGCTGGCGAGTGGTCAGTGCGCCCGGAGAGAGAACTCGAAACCCGAGGGCCGTCTCCTCCACCTAGGATCTGTGTCGTCTTCCCCCCCCCCCCCGCCCCATTCTTGCAAACAGAGTCCTGAGCTAGCTCCTCCCAGCGGCTTCTGCTATTGGGGCGCTCCGAAGCCCTCGGTCACGCCCACCTGCCCTCTAGAGACCAGACGGGGATGGCGCCGAGACAGTGGGAGGGGCAGAGCAGGCTTTCCCTGGGGAAATGTGCAAACCTATCCCACAGTGGCCCCGGTCTCGCTCTGGGTGCAGTTACCATTGCACGCTGGGAAAGTGTAGCGGGGGACAACCGGCCCTCCCTCCTGGGCTCCGCCCATTGCACCGAGTCCTCTCAGGCTGGTCTCACTCCCGGTTCCCACCCGGGGCCAGGTGACACGCAGAGCCGCCACTATGGTTCATCAGGTGCTCTACCGGGCGCTGGTCTCCACCAAGTGGTTGGCGGAATCCATTCGGTCCGGCAGCTTGGGACCCGGCCTTCGGGTGCTGGACGCGTCCTGGTACTCACCGGGGACCCGCCAGGCGCGCCAAGAGTACCAGGAGCGCCACGTGCCCGGCGCGTCCTTTTTTGATATAGAGGAGTGCCGGGACACGGCTTCGCCCTACGAGATGATGCTGCCCAGTGAGGCCCGCTTCGGGGAGTACGTGGGCAACCTCGGCATAGGCAACGACACACACGTGGTGGTGTACGACGGGGACGAGCTCGGCAGCTTCTACGCGCCCCGGGTGTGGTGGATGTTCCGGGTGTTCGGCCACCGCACCGTGTCAGTGCTCAACGGTGGCTTCCGGAACTGGCTGAAGGAGGGCCACCCGGTGACATCCGAGCCCTCGAGGCCCGAGCCGGCCGTGTTCAAAGCCACGCTGGACCGCTCCCTGCTCAAGACCTACGAGCAGGTCCTGGAGAACCTTCAGTCTAAAAGGTTCCAGCTGGTGGACTCTCGGGCCCAAGGACGGTACCTGGGCACACAGGCGGAGCCCGATGCGGTCGGTAGGTGTTACCGGGGCCCCTGGGGAGGACTGTCCATCACAAGATGGGGAAGCGGAACGGCCGGGCCCCTCCGTCTTTCCCTCCCTGTTAGACTTGTCTTTCCATCTGTAAAATGGGAGGGGACAGTCAACCTTGAAGGCTTTTGCAGCGCTCTGGTAAGTGAGGGCCCTGGGTGCCCACAGTCCTGGGCTGTATTAGTAGCGGCGGCTGGTGGCCTGTCTCTCCACGGCCCACTTCCAGACGCCAGCTCTCTCTCCCACATGCACTAGGATGCACGAAAGGACATCCCACCCACGAGCAGTCACGTACAGGGGTCGTACAGAGGTCTGCGTGTGTGCTCACACCCCCTAGACCCAAGAAACTCCTTCAAACACCACAGTGTCCTTCCTCTGGCTCTCCTGGGACTCTGACTGGTGTTTGTAAAAGGCAGTCAGCAGTCAGTTCATAAGCTCAACCAGCAGCCACAGTCTGTTTGTGGAGCTGATGCAACAGCTGCAGGCTGGTGCGGGGGGGATATTGATGCGATGAAATACCGAACTTCAACGGGAAGATGAGATGTTGTTACTTGGGTCTGTTAAGTGGCGGTGGCTGGATTTGAACCCAGTGCTATTTTGTCTTAAACCAGGGTTCTAAACTCAGATATAAGCCCATCCAGTGCCACCACCACTTCCTAGGGTTCAGGGGACCCCAGGTCTTGCTTCCCCCACCCCAACACTAGTCACCTGCCTCCTAAGGCTCTTTTTTATCAGTAAGTATCCCTGCCCTGAATGACTTAACTCCGGGGTAACATTTTGCCTAACTCGTTGCAAAACGCTTCTTCCTTTCTGCCTCCTGGTGTCCGCAACCCTGTTTTTACCGTCTTAATACTAAACTGTCAGCCCACGGGACAGAGTGGGGCCGAGGCACAGGCAGGAGCAGGTCAAGGCCACGCACACAATTGGCAGAGCTTGGCATCGCCCTCTCCAGGCCTTTGATTTCCCCCGCCTGTGGAGCTCTGGGAAGGTCAGGAGAGAAAGATGCTTGCTCATTGGGCACTTTCCAGAGACTATGGACACGGAACGCCCACAGCCCCTCCTGGTCTTGGCTCAAAGCCCTTTTTCTTCTTAAAACTTATGCTGGGGGGAGGGGGAGTGAAGCTGGTCATGGAGCTCTCCCAGCAGGCTAGAAAGTGAGTGAAACAGAGCCCAGACATCGCCTTCCCACCAATTTATAGATGAGGAAAGCCGAGGCTGGGAGAGAGGACACGGTTCTAAAGCCCCTCTCTGTTCGTGATTCTTCCTACCTCTCCTGATTCCCCTCGGGTGCCAGGGCAGCCAGGGTTCTCCTTCCAATTCAGCGGCTCCTATGTGGAGGGTACTCAGCCCAACTGCTTGGCCTTGTGTTCGCCAGAGGTCCCCAGCCCTGCCTCATGCCCATGGCTTTTTTTTTTTTTTTTTTTTCCACATAGCAAGTCAGCAAAGGGGCTCTTTGGAGCGGAAGGCACTGAGCAAAGTCTAGGCCCATCTAGACAGGCAGGGTGGGCCGCTTGCCCCATTCTATACGAGGATTTGTACGAGAAAACAAAATGCACACTGCCAAGGTTATGGTCTGTTGGGTGGATTCAGGGAGGTTCCTGTGGGTTCAGCAGTCCGGATATAAAAAAAAACAAAACATGGGGGTGGGGAGGCCTTGACTCTTGAGTGTTCCTGAAAGGAGTGACTGTGGCAGAAACAAAAAAACATGACCCGATGGCTGCTTCCTTCAGGGGCAACTACCTCCAGCCTTCACGTGACTTCCAAAGTCCTGAGTTAGGGTGTAGAATAAAAGAATATTCAGGCGGAGCTGTGTGTTAGCACTGGAAGGAACACTAGCAAAGAAGCAGAGAGGTAGCTTATGCTAGTCAGGTCCAAGGCTGGGCACCCAGAGTAGATAAGAAGAGTCGTAGAAAGGAGAGGGACCTTAGAATGCAAGGATCTCTTGAGGGCTGGGCCAGTAGTAGGCTGTCTCCCCTCTCCAGGCCTCGGTGTTCCTCATCTATAAAATGGGAGTGCTGGATTTGATCCTGGTATCACTCGTTTCTCAGTTGTTCAGCCTGTGAGCCTGTTCTTTCACTGGGGAGTGGTTGAGGATGAGGAGGGTGTTGGTCCGTGACTAGCGCTTTGGTTTGCAGGCCCCTGGATGCAGTCAACTTCTGAAATCCTCAGTGGCCTTGCCCGAGGGCCTGGCCCCACTCCACTCAGGCTCTAGAATGAGGCTTGCCTAAGGCTGCTGTGGAGGGTAGGGTGAGCCAGAGCAAACATGAGGACTGGGGCAGGCAAAGTCAGCCCTCTTCACTGTTGCTACGTGCGAGCACGGGGCCTCTCTACCTGTGGCCCTGTCTCTTGGGCCACAGCCAGGGTGTCTACACCAGATTCCCTATCTTTGAGATGCAAGCCCGAAAGGTCCATGGTTTTCCTGGCCTCCAACAGCTGAGCCCATCTGTGGTCTACAGGATCTCAACATGCCTACGGACTTGACCCTCCTCAGCCAAACCTGGGACACAAATTCCTAGACTTCTGGGCAGCTGAGGAACACAAGAAATCATCTCAGTAATTCCCCTGCCTCAGCCTTCTTTTCCAGGGGAGCTGAGAGTGACTAAAAAACATAGGCTTTGGAGTGTGGCTTGATTTTACGTGACTCCTGTGTGTCCTGGGGGAGAGAAGGATGTTATTGTGTCTCTCTGAGCCTGGCATCCCCATTAGAGCTAGGAGGAATGTCTCTTCATTCCTCTTGTGAGGAGTGAGAGAACCCACGTTTGGGGTGTTGGCTATAGAGAGGAGGAGTATGGCAGGAGGTCTGCTTCTAGCTGGTTGGAAGTGTTCCAGAGATCTCCGGCCTTGGCCCATGGGTTCCCCGGCTCTCCCTTTGCACAAAGGCTGTGCCCTCTGTTCCTTTAAAGTCTCCCGGCAGAGGCTGGAGAGAGCCTGAGTGGGGAAAGTGCTCGCCTTGCGAGCATGAGCACGATTTAGATCCCTAAATGCAACTTAGTGGCTTAGGCTTGTCAGAGACAGGCAGATCTCTTGAGCTCTCTGCAGCCAGTCTTACCATCAAGTGCCAGGGGCGTGGGCCAACGAGGGGCCTCAGACTAGGTGGTCCTCTGACCTCCATTTCCATGCCTATAGGGGTGCACTCCTCAACGCCTGCCCTGACGAAAAACCCAGCGAGGCCCTGAGCCTTCCTGGCAGAGTGGCAGGTGCTGAGGCTTCCCAGCAATCCCTCACTCCATCCTCACTCAGGCAAGCCTCCCTTTATAGACTTAAGACAACAATAAGGCTGGTGTGTCGCAGACAAGAAAACAGCACTCAGAGGTTCGGCGCAGAGGATCTTGACCAGCAATGCCTCCCACAGCGAACTGTTGTACCCTGACAGTTGATGTCTGCAACCAGCTGCTCCTCCCTGGCAGGGTTACACATTGCTGGTTTCAGCTTCAGCAGGAAGACGTGTCTAGATGTCACTTGTGCTAGTGGTTCTTAGAATCGTCTTTGGGATGAGGGGGCTCCCATATTGCTATATCGGCCAAGCATGTACCCACTGTGCTCCTGGGGTCAGTGGGGTCTTCTACCTATAGGAGGGGACACTGAGGCCCTGAAGGGAGAGCCTTCCTGTCTGATTGACGCTGCTCACTCCTGCTGGAATGTGACTTGCTCATAGCAATCCAAGCCCTTTCCTCCTCTTCCCATCACGCCCACCATGCTGTTTCTGTCTTGCAAGTTTAATGGGTTGGTGGGGATTTGGGGAATCTGAAGAGATGGAGGCATTTCTGGCCAGGGCTTCCCTCTCAGTGCTGTCTGTATAAGGGTGCAGGGTGCACAAGGAAGAGAATTGGCTGAGCATGCCAGGACTGATAAAGCCTGGGTCCTTTGGGCGCCACTAGCCAGCCATGGCTAGTCTTTGTGGTTTTCCATCCCCTTTTACTGGCTTGATGTTTTTCAAACAAGGTCTCCATAGCCCAGACTGACCTGTAACTCACTATGTAGACCAGGCTGGCTCCAAACTGCAGATCCTCCTGC